CATCGAATACCTTGAACTCTGATAATATAGCATACAAAGGATCATCAGTAACACTACGTTTACTGCCGTTATTCACCATAGCTGCTTTAGGGGAGCACAATAGTGCACTGGAAGAAGTGCTTGGAAGAATCCCACCAATTCTTCTATATAAGACACGACATGGTGTTGCATAAATGGACATGGAGAAAGTGAGTTCAAGCCTTTAAATAATATTAACATAATGACTGAAATATTTCCCATCTATGCAGTGACATACACGGAAAAATTGTGATATCGTAGAAAACCAAATAATGAAACGTAAAAAGCAAATTTTAGATAGGTAAATAATTATGAATCATAAAGATTAAGATTATCTTAATTCATATAATATTCGAATCAATTTTAAAACCGCTATAAGTTGAGAAAATTTGATTAACCATACAAACTGTACAACAAAAATTGGCAGAACTAATTTCTTATTAACACTACTTCTTGACACTTTGAATAATGAGTTACTGAAAACATAATATGAAACCTATTTGTAACAATTTACACATTGGTGTCTGAATATTTTTTTTTTGCCTGCAGAATCATTTCAATTATTTACACAGAAAATCCTTAACCGTGAAATCAAGCGCTGTTATTTTAAGCTTGAAAGCTTAAAATCTTCTCCGCTACCTCTAGATCTAAATAATACTTCAGTGTAACGTATCTTAATACTTTTTTACCAAGCATTCATTTCAACGTTCTACAGCACAAACCATCATGAGAAATTCTTCTTCTTTCAACGTTACTTTCTCCTCTCTTTCTCCTTTCCTTGCCAACTCTTACCCATCACTATAGCATCCCTCCCAATCCCTGCACTCTCTTCATTTGAAATGACAATCACTGCATAAAAATACATTTCGTACTTTGTTTGGTGTTGAATTTTATCTGATTGAAATGAGAAAGGATTTCTTAGAGTGTAGTATTTTTACCGATGTGTGAAACTGAAACTCTATCAAATATGAGGCTGCATACTTGTGCAATATTCGATTACTATCTGGTGCAAAAATTGTTGATTGCAGATGAGGACAGTTCACATTTACTCATATTTGTAGATCTTTTCGATCTATCGAAGAAAGTAATAAAAATCAATTGCAAAATGAGTACAATTTTTTAATTAACATTGAATTTCGCAGACGAAAGTGTACTGCGGAAAAATGTGATGACATGAAGTTTGAAGCAGTTGTGTACGTTGCCTCACGTCGATAGAACTAACATATATAATGTTGTTGACATGATCATCTATCTTTTTACTATTTCAGTATTACTTTTTGTTTCAGTGAAACAAAATTTACAGTATCACTGTTTGCAGATATTTTTGTACAATTTACAACTCTTTTTAACTAGCACTTGTTTCTAGCCAGCATTTTGTTTTTTATTTCATTTCTGTTAAATGCTGTCAGTTTAACAAATATACACTTTAATTGTGGCGAAAAAGAGATAAAAATAAACAGACAAATAGAACTTTCTGATTGGAAAATATTTTTACAGCTAGTGCTCTTTTACAAAAATTGACAGAAAATGACAATAAGTATTGTAGTAATTGTTGTCTGAACAAAATTAAGAGTTAGCACTTATCTGTGCAATAGCCAATTAAACTCAAAAACCAGCTTAATCGTTCAGCTTGAACAGTTTGATAGACCTTTTTAATAAGTGCTTGTGTATATAGTAAATCCATTCAATTCAGCATTGACTGTCTACTTTGTGGTCTGAGAATTCAGTACAATATCAGATTATAACTGAAATTTAAAAAAAAAAAAAGAATACATTTTAGAAAGCATTTATTTGTAACTTTTATAAAATAATATACTGTCAAATAGTTTTAAAAGCTATCTAATCCAAGTAATTCTATGTAAAAAATTGTTTGAAATATATATGTATATTTGATGAGTGTTTTTTTGAATACTTGAAGATTTCTGAAAGTGCGTGCTGATCTAATGATTACTTCATGAAAATTTTACTACTTTGAGAAGCATTTTTGAGAATAAACACATATAGTTTAGAAATTTCTTGAAAATATCATGGAAGTCGTAAATATATACCTTCTGATGTTCACCTTACCAAAGGTTTTAGTGCAGCAATCGCAACAGAACACGACAAAATATTATTCACGAAAGGGTGCAAATGAATTGCAACTGCAAACTGTACACTTGCATCGCTATTTTCTTGCATTTTCAACGAAAGTAATTTGTCAATTATTGCCTTTGAGTTAGTGTATCGTTCGCGAAATGCCACAGCATTTACGTGGTATGATGTACGTAGCGTCATTAAAGCGTAATTTACTCTTTCTATATTATCCAATGTTTCCTGTTCAGTTAACAGCTCACGTAGCATCCTAAAGAACTGAGTAATTAAAATCTATGCTCTCAATTTTTGACTTGTTGAAAGAGTGCAGTAATAATTTGAAAAAGCGTTTTAAATATCAAAGAAATTGTGTATGTTTGGCACGCAAGAAGTCTTCTGTTTATATTGCGATTAAAGTAATTTGTAAAGTAATTACAAATTTGCTAATTATTTATTTAGAAAATGTTAAATATTTTAGTCGATTAAGCTTGTTTAGAATATAGAAGCTCTGCCTTTGAAGGCAACAAATTTAAAATCTGATATTTTGAAAAATTTCATCAATGACTTTAGTAAATTAATTGATTAAAATATTTAACACTTTTTAAATAAATAATTAACAGTTGCATAGCGAAAACTGTGAAAAATGAAAAAATATTTGAGTCTTCAATAAATAAGTCGAAAATAGGAACAGAAATAGATTTTGTTCTCAAATTACACGTTGTTTTAATTCACAATAATAAACGTGAAAAGTAGAAGTGAAATTTTTACCTGGAAGCGAGTAAATTCCATTGTGGGATACCATATTGACGAGACTGGTCAAATTTCAAACGGATTTCACGCTCTAAGTCAGTTCTGAGCTGTAGAATCGCATTTTTATCCATCTCCAAATAAACTATCTGCTTTGGTTGGATTGATTCTAATTCAGTTTGATTGGTGTTAAACATTGGTAACCATTTATTACGTTTCTGTAATCTATTCACTCTTCTGAATTGTTAATTGGCTTTTAATTAAGTTCAAAGTAAAAAACTTAAAATTGACCTTGAAGTATTCATAAATTCTAGTGGTAACTTTTCAACTCTTACAGTAAAATCAAACTGCATTTGACTAGGATGTTCGTGTTGCTGGATATTTGCATAGTGATTTCCGATAGTAATTACAGTACCAATGCTTATAATAGGACAAAGGGGATCATTTATGTTATAAGATGTACCATATGAAGCATTTAAGATTATAGCACCTTCTGGAATCATTGCTAATACACATGTCGATCTTGGACCTAAAATATTAACTTTGGTGACTTTAAACAGTATAAAGTTAGTGTTTTTTTTAGAGGAAAATTGGGCTCTCCCTTTCAATAATTAGTGATATTTTATTCATGTAAATTTATTGTATTTCAAATAATTGCTCAGTTCTCACTTTAATTTTGTTTTTAAATTGATTCGTCTTTCAAAACATAAACTTAAGATGTGATGTTTATTCATTATCATTTTGATTTGTTAATTATTTGAGTTTGCTCCATAATGGTTACTAAAGTTGCTCATATAACAGTAATTGTGAATTTAAAATCCCATTATCACTAAATTAACCTTGCAGTAACGATTCTCCAAGCAACACATACGATGGAATATGGAAATGCAACAGCCAACAACATAGCAAAATGGCATGTTCTTCGCTTCCATATCCAATTTGCATAAACTAAAAATAAATACTGCAGTATGACAAATTCTTATCAATTATAGCAAGCATTACTTATTGTACCTTGTATTACAGCACTGATTTCTAAGCATACCTGATCAACAGTGGTCCATACATCACAAAACTTTGGCAAATTGACTGCATCTTCAAGGAACGGTATACAAGAAACTAGCTGACATAGTGTATGAGCCAATTTTCGTGGTGATGAGTCATTATTGTCCAAGACACATGATGTTGGTGGCTTAATCGGCCGTAAAAATCTAGAAGATTTCACTGATGAGAGTAAGCTAATATAGTACATATATCTTACTATGGTATTTCAAATTATTCAAACCAGTGATGAGTGATAGCATTTTCCAGCAGTCACGCCATATGATAATTTTACTTCAATAATTTCTTTACATGCTAAATTCTTTTCAGAGTTGATGACTTTACGATTCTTTTTAAATTAATTCTCATAATTATAGAAGGTAAAACACTGCGAACTTTGACTTAGTTTGATTTGAATCTAGCAAAACTGATATAAACTTTTTCAGAGGAATGGAAATTCATCGAGCACAAAGTGTGAAATATGTGATAAAATAACGGAAAATAAATTCATAGTGCTTCTAACTATGAAATGCTAAACTTTAAGAAAAATACTTGGAGGATTATTTGTTGGTTTGAAAGTAGATAACATATTTGCATAAGAATTTATATAAGAATCTTCCAGTTAAAAAAACATGAAATTCTTGTATCATTTTTCAAAGGGTTTTGTATGCAAATAGTTAATGCTTTACTCTTTTTAGCTAGTACTTAACCTTTTATGATTCACAGCAAAGAGTAAACCTGCAGGCCAATACTCGTTTTCCTGTGGTACTTTGTATTATGCTAATGTAACGACGACCAGGAAAACGATTTGTAGCATTTTGTTCCCATTCCATTGCTTTTCTATGTATCTAAAATTGTAAAATGATGTATTTCTACTTGATGGGAATATAAAGTGATAAAATTTTTATCATATCTTCGTTATATCAGTGAATTTTGAAAGAGTTGAACGACTGCTTTGTTTTGTTTGTTGTAAGCAAGATTCTTGTTTAATTAGTATTGTAGAAAAGATTTGACACTTCAAAATAGTACTTTCCTCATTAGATTCATCAACGTTTACGTATTTTATTAAGTTGACTTTCAACGGACTTATAGCTGGTTGAAAGGCAATTAATAGTTTCAAATAAGTTGGCTGGCTATTGTATCTGAAAATTTGTAACTGATTATGTTATCATAGTATTTTAATTGATTGACTCTTGACCTTTGATTGCTTTTTTCTTTCAGGTACGAAACAAACCTGTAAGAAGTGAGAAATAATGGTGTTTGAAGTTGTAAAGTTCCATCAATTTTACCAGCATAATAAATAGTACTGAAAGGTATGGACAAAGAACCTAACCATCGAATTTCCAGTTGTTCATGCACTGAATTAGGTTCTCGGTCGTCTTGATCAAGCTTGCTTAAGACCTAAAATAAAAGTAAGGTTTTATTAATACGGTTGCTAAGACTTAAAACAAATAATGCATGAAAGATTACAACAAGTATGTACTTGCGTCATATTTTTCAAACACAAACATATCAATCTTATTTTACAAATTCACACTCAACTGATTTAAAACTGAATTCTCTGAAAAATTTTCGAAACGTTTATTATTTTTTTCGACTCAAAGTAACTTATGACTTTCTTTGCATAAATTTTAATATATGCAAAAAAACGTCTTCAAGTTTATTGTAGTGAACACTGAATAAACTTTTTAAATTTGCCCCGTTTTATTTTCTTTAAACAATTTTTTCAAATGATTTTTTGTTATATTTTGTTTTTGAATGGTAGAAAAATCAGTCTTACTTGATCGTAAACTGTGATATGCACTGAATCAGTAATTTTTTTTAAATCGTTATTTTGATTGTAAACTCTATCCAATTTCAATTCAACTGTATGCTGCCAGTTGGCGTTTTGTCCATAGCATGCAAAAGTTTTCACAGCCAAACCCTAAACAAAACTTATAAATTTTGAATTACTAGATAATTTCAGATGTTATGCAGTATATGCAACAAGCAACCTTGTTGTTATTAAATACCGTTCAAGTGAAATGTGACTGACCTGAAATGATATTACAACAAACGAAAACAACTTTCCGGTTTCAGGTTCAGGAAGATTCAAGGCTGATTGGATGTTGATGACGAGACTATATTCCACATCATTCGTTATCTAAATGATATATTATTACTGTACAAGGTACTAAACTAATCATTTAGTGTATCATAATAGATCTTATATTTGATTTCCAGAATAAATTCTAATGAGAAAAGTTTGTCACAAAACTCTTAAAAAGTTATTTTTTTATTAATTTATATGTTTATTTTTTGGTACAAATATTGCAAACCGTATCATTCAATAATAAGTACCTGTCGTTTAGTTATCATCCGTCGTGTTGGACGTAACTTCCGTGATATCATTATAGGAGAAATTACCATACTACTAAATGCATTAAAAAATGTAGGAATTGGTTCTTCGTGTACCAAACCTTGAAGCGTTTCTACACGTTGTTCATTACCTGCTTTTTCATAAAATAGATTTCTGCAAAAAATCAAATCACTCGGATTATTGCATATTTATTCATTTTAGAAATATGCAAGGCAAATTTATTATATTAATACATTAAATAATGTCTAATTAGCAAGCTTTTACAATCAATACGTTTGTTCTCAAAAACCAAATCACCGCAAAAAATGCTTATTACCGTATCATTGTTGCATATCTGTGACCAGTGCTACGATGCTTGTCAATCCAAGCTTTGTAACTGAATTGACTGCTTGCTTCATTTTCGTATGAATCGCTTATCTGATGCTCCATTTCAGAACTAAGTAGTGGTATCAGTTTTTTCATTTCGTTTTTTTGCTTGCTGCGATGCTGTAGTGCTTGCAATCTGAATTGTTATTTTTATATTTTTGCTGCACTTTTTCATACTGAAAATGAATTGAGAATTCTTGAAAAATAGATGAGTTTCGGTTTGTGACTTTGAATTTTTCGTTTTTGAAAGAAATTTTGAAAATACAAATTTGTACACAATTAGATTATCGACTGCACTGAAATAATCTTATTAAGCAAGTCAAAATCCATAAAAGGACAAGAATTCACTGAATATTCCAAAATTATATTATAAGTGTGTAAAATGCTAGACTAACCAATTTTAAACACTAAAAATTTGAACCCTTTTAAAAGTGAGATCATACCTAATGTCATTGTTGAATTCTTGATCAGTACATAGTCGAACTTCTTCTGGTATGAAATCGGTAACTTTTACTGCCTTAGATTGCTGTTTAAAAGTAAATGTTGGAAACTGATGTAGTTTATTGGCCTTAAATGCACCTTTAGCCCAAAATGCATTACAGTACAGTTCACCAGCTATGCATGGTTTACCGTTACCAGAACCAAGACTTGAGTACATCCTGTAAATAGCGAGAAATAGAAACAAATTCATCAGTATGCGAATCCCAAAGAGATCAAAAATGATATAATAATTAAATTAATCGACGAAATTAATCTCTTTTCTTACATATAATTCAGTACGGAATATAATAATTACTTGGACATAAACTATCTTGCTATGAAAGTAATGTCGGAGAAATAGTTACCCTTCGATAACTAAATCACTAGCAAACTGAACTGGTACTACAGTACCACATCCTTCAGTAATGTGATTTTCATCTGGCAATGGTAGTCCAACAACAGCAATTTTACGAGCATCAGTTTTAGGCACTTTTTCAAAAATTGTTATCGTAACGGATTCAGGTATGTCTTTCACCTGAATTACTTGAGTAGCAATTAGAAAATAAGTGACAAGTAAAATATTAGTTTGACATTTATGAATAAATTACTTCAGAATTAAAGATAACAAGTCAACGAGCAAATCCTCACTTGCAAACTATAAATTTGACCAAAATAAGCTTGAAAATGATTGTCGAGCGGTTGATACAATGTTTTACATACAACAATCTTATTGAATTCAATTTGTAATTGCAGTCGGCACTTTTGTATATAATTCATTCGATCAGTTTCATCTTTTGGTATTGGCTTTTTCAACTTATGAGATTCAAAGTTGCTGAGAACGTGAACGGGAATCTGACGAATTTCACTGAACATCTCTGATCTATCCGTGACATTCATCGTTTGCACGTCATTGCGCACTTCACTGCACTAAGTAACTCTTTGAATTAATCGTATTCAATTCACTGCTATTTTCTCGATATTAAATAAATTCAAGTTTACAAAATGCTACTCATCACTGATCTTAGCTGACTACTTTCATCTTTTGAAGATTACTTTGGTGGGAACTAAATTTTTTGAAAGAAAATGCCAACTTTTTCAAGGAAAATTATACTTTATCAAGTCGAAAGGTAGCACTGATGAACCTGTCTATATGTTGTTGCTGCTCAAACGTTGTCTTCTTTACTGTCAGTGTGGTGGTAGAATATTTTTGTATATGTCGCAAACTTTGCAATTTACACCAATTTTGCTCAATTTGATCACTTAAGTGAAGGTAATTCTGCTGTTTTGTTTGCAAAGCAGTTGTTAGCTCAGTGATTCGTAATTTTATTCTGCAATAATTCATCGTATTTTTTTGGCTATAAAACTATAATATTTGTTTTTTTAAACAAATAAAGTTGCTTAAATATAAAGCTACACTTTTACAATCTGAACAAATTTATAGATTAAATATTAGTGTGTTCAATGCTCAAACAAGTCTGGTAAAAATTCTAGCCGTATTTAAGATATATTTCTGCATATCATTTAACTTCATTATCAAAGTTAAATGTAATCAAGCAATTAGTAATTAAATAGTACAATATTAATGCACTAATCATCTATTTAAAAATAAGATATATGAACAAACTATTTCATTTTTAAATTCATGTTACTTATAAAATTTATTACATTTTTTACGGGGTGAAAACTTTTGCAAAATTTTAAATCAGTTAATTAATACAATCAGTAACTAGATAATATATAGATAGACTGAAATATATCGAGAAATTCTTGAACAATCTCGGATGAAATAATGCATACTAGCAAAAAATAATGCTTCTTTGAGGTGAGTTTAGAATAGTTTAACTTTGTGATTAACTTTTTGAGCGTTTAATATCCGAAACAATTACTTACTTTTGCATTTCATCTTGCTGTAGAATCTTTTCATAGTGAAGTTTTCTTTCCTCCAAATCAATCTCCTTCAGTAATTCTAATGCTTCTTGCGCTTGAACAGATTGTGTTTTATGCAAATTCTGAATCGTACTGCACAACTAAAATCATCACTTACTTATTCAGCAAGTTTATATTAAATTAGAATGACAGTGTAATTAAGCTCTGGCAATTACTTAATAAGTTTTGCCTTAAAACTGGATCTTATAAAAATTGCCTTCTTCCACTACTATTTACTGTACTGTTTCTGAATTGTTATGTTAAAAGTAGTATATTTAAAGGAATAAATGTAATCAATTATTCGTGAACTAATCTTAAACGTATTTTGAGCTATGAATCAATAAATTGCTTACTAAGTCTTCTGACCCAAAGAGCCAGTGGTAATTAAAAACAATTCGGTTCAGATCAATGTCTAATTGCATAAAATTCCGTTGTCCGATCTGGTCTAGCGATTTACCCCACTTTTCAGCTTTTACATATTGATATGGCTTGTGCAAACTATCATCATATGATTCTCGCTAAAGATTTGCTCACTACATAATATTATCACCAGAATTACTGTGTAATACAGTATTGTACTTAAGAACTGAGAATGAAGTGAGCGAAAACTTCGGTCTTTCCATGAATACAAATTGCATATGTAAGAAAAGTTATTATCATTTGATAATTTGATTCAGCGAAAAATGAGCTCAACGTGTGACTTTATGCCAAAAAAAAGTTTCATTTTCATGCGAAATTTGACCTTTGTTTGTATCTATTTTTTGGAGGTATAATAAATGTAAGAATGTCACGCTAAATCACAAAAACAAAACTCGTTTTGGCGTTTGAATCGTACTCAAATTGGACCCCAATAATGTGTCATTATTGGTGACGAAGTGAATCCCTGCTCGCTTAATCAGAAGTGCCTGCTTGCGTGATTCAATATTTCTTCTGAATTTAAAATTCAGAATTAACACTACAGTAGTCTTCAATTTTATCAATACGCGATTGATAATACTACTGACTAATGAAAGAGTAGCAGTAATTGTTAGAATAAAGCAAAATCATTTAAGATTTCAAAATGAAATTAGCTTCAACACATGAAATTTTAATTCACAGTAAATACCAAAACAATCATTTCTTTAAAAAGTTAAGCGGTAAAAATTAAAGTTATCAAGAAATTTCTTTGGAAATTTTGGTATTTTTTGAAACGTTTTTTAAAACTTGGTAGCAAACCTTTGCATTCCATTTTCAATCGACAAAGGGATCACATCTTCATATCTATCGTAAGTACGACATAAGGCAGTGAATTGTTCAACCTCTTGAATAGATTTGGGCTGCGCGGCTATATATTTCACTAAATTTTAGTTGTTTAAAGTTTGCTTATTTTTTCAGTTTCGCTTTAGAAAGTATAAAAATTTCAATTTCAATAATTCACTTTTCAAATACAAAGTGTTGTCGCCAATACTTTGCTAACAAAATTAAACTGACGTGGCAGAAATAGCAACAGATATTTATTATTTTATTATTATTATCATTATTATTATTATTATTATTGTCATTAACACCTTATAAAGCTTATCTAAAAAAAATAGCGATAATATTAATAATAATTTGTATTAACCTTTAGGAAAATGCTTATTTTTTATTTCAAAACTCCCATTCTGCTCACATTCACCGGTTACAAATTTGTACTGGACTTCTTCCGTTGGTAAATATTTTGTTTTATCAGCGATGCAACGTTTTCCAAGCTGTTTGTGTTTTTTAGCGTTGCGAATTTATTTATAATGAATATATAATGCAGAAATCTTTGAAATTTATTGCCTTCTAAATATTAGTCACAATAAATTAAAGACTATTTTTCAGTCTGAGTAAAGTAATTTTAGTAAATACCAAACTGCATCATCTGAATATGACTATCACAATAAAAGATGACAAGAATCTGAGTAATATTCACTAGAAAAAAAATAGAAATCAAGGCAAAAAGTAAGCAGCAAGAAGAACCTTCAACGAGTGCTCAATTTGCTGATCAAGCAGCATTTGTTCTTCATTATTTCTTGCTGATATATATTGTTGTTTGACTTTATCATATTTTTCACGTTGTAAACGTTTACTTAATAGCACATTGCTTTGTTTTGCTTTCATTTCCTGCTTGACTTTTAGCCGAATTTGTTGACGTAATAATTGCGTGTCAAGCGTACGAGATACATTGTATTCTTTTTCATAGGAAGGATATGTTGGTTTAGTATTTGGACTAAACTTCAAAATAATCATTTTGAAAAACTTCTAAATTTAAGAAAATTACTTAAACTGTTTTGCAAATATTTGCCATTTAACATTAACATTCTAATAAAAAATTTATTCCAATATGATTAATTACAGTTTTGCTTTAGTTTTAGGAAAAATAATGCATAATTATTAGTGAAACCAAATGTAAAAAATTGAATGTTTGACTTTTTTGGTTTACTTAATTTTAAATTAAAAAAATATTACTTTTTATCTTGATTTATTTGTGATTTGTGACTAAGTAAGTCTTCCTCCTGAAAAGCAATACTAATTACTTCAGCAAATTAGATATATGTAAGTGATTAAAAAACGCCTTCTAAATTGATCCATTCTTAATCTAATTAATCTCTAAAAGATTAATTGCGTTTTTTTGCTGGATTTCAGTGCTGCAGCACAATTGTTATTCATTTCCTCGCTAAGATAATTTGCTGTCTAACAAAAGATTTAATCAAAAATACAGTGCAGAAATAATAATTTAATATTATTTGAACAAAATATATTGCTGAGATTTGAAACTATCGCCCTAAAATATTATTTCAAGAATGAATATTGAGTAAAACTTGATTTGGCGTGTCATAATTATCATACATATTAATAAAGCATATGAAAGTTGATGCTTTCTGCGATTAGACTAAATATGTTCGAATCAAATGATAATTACTGATCGCACCGATCGTTTAGCCAAGCAAGAAACGCCTTCTTGGCTACTCACTGGCAGACACTTGAGCACGGCAGCTTCTTCACTCCCACTTCTGTCTTCTTCAAGGCCATCCAACAAATTTTCTTCTCGATTCCTCACTCTATTATCCATATTACTGTCATCTGTACAGCTATTTTCCATTGCTACAAATTGAATTTAACTTTTAATCAGATTGGACTTGCATTTCTTTGCATATATTGCAAAGTTATGCAATAAAAGTTTTATCAATTTTGCTGCTAATTTTACTCTTTTTGCTAAGTTGTATTAAGTGAGATATCAAAATTTAAATACATTTCCAAATTAAACTTTGTTCTTGCATTTTGACAATTTTTCCATATATACACAAATAACTTGATTATTCAAAGTAAGACCACATGAACATCTCAAAACTTTACTAAAAAATTGATTTACATTGATTTTAGTAAAAAAAAACTATTATAGCTATAATTCACGGCAATCTGAACATCTTGAATCATAATCTCTTGCCATCAGATGATAAGATTTGTCCTAAATATTACAGCAACCTCTGAGGGTGGCGTTCCTCATCTTTAGTTTTGACTTACAAAACCATATTCAGTGTAGCGAAACGTTTGATACAACAATAAAATGATCAGTGCTATATATGAGAGCTAAAGTAAATATCACTAAGATAGAGTATAAAAATAGGAGAATGACAAGTTAATGAGCTTATTGGTGGGGCAGTGTTGCTATGAGCAACGATGCGCTCAGATATAACTCGGGAATACGAGAAAGGGAACGTTCTAAGCACTATTTATGGATTAAAGTTAATTTCTCGCTGTAAAATTAAGTACCATTTGACTTTTGATTGCACGTAACTTTTTTATTTGCAGACATTTTTATCGTTATAATAATAGTTGCATTCAAAAATAAGACAAATTGAACTTTACAAAAGTTAAGACTAATTAATATTCAGCAAGAAACAAAAGTGATCTGTTTATAAATGCAAAAAAGGCAAAATAATTAATAGTTAAAAAGAGTGAGATTATCAAAAATCATAAAGCACAAAGCACAAATATTCCAAGCTATTATGCAAGGAAAATAATATCGTATTAAATACAACAAAAAATTAGTATAACTACCAGTAAGCCAGCATGATTACTAGTTTTTTTCACAGCGTAAAAAATATGATAAATTTCAGTTTATAAATAAATATCATCATAACAAAATACCTTGTTTGTAAACCGTATTTTTAAATAAATGATTAGTAGTAATACATTAATAGGTCATTAGCACATTAATAATATGGTAAATTTTTGATAAGATTACAGTTATTACAAAGAGTTTACAAAATTATTCACCATGCAGTATGCTCGTTTTTTTAGTCATCCAAGAATTTACAAAAGAGAAAAGCTCAAAAAGATAAAACAAAATCTAGATAAAACTGTTAAGTGAACTGAATTTTTTTACAATACCTCGACGTAGCAATGTGGTATTAAGCGTTTAGCATAAATATTATGATTTATATGATATGAAATTTGACGTAACCCTCCACGGAATCACCGTTTTTGCCGTTTCTGTTTTCTATAAAATGAATGATTTGACCACACTTCTCTCGAAAGTATTACGTGATGATAACCGGTTGTTACCATATGTTTTGCTTGTTTTAACATCCTATTAATCGCTGCCTGTAATCAACATTAACGACTATTCAACAGTATTATTAAAAAAAATATCATTATGTTTATGACGAGAAAGTACCCAAAAATCTATGCACATAAATATATGAATACATATGCATTAAATTATTCATGTAAGTGAATTCAAATTCATCAATTTCAGTTTGCACACAATCATTTCATTTTATTATCATTGCTGGCATTATAATATTCAAATCACTGATTTTGAAATTTGAATATTATAATGCCAATAATGTTAATAAAATTATTTTAAAAGTCCTCTACTATTCAATTAACTGATTTCTACAGATTTTTCCGAGTATAGCTGACTTACAACAAACATATAATCCCAAAAGATACTTACGTCACGTTTTAAAATCTGATCGTTCAACACAGTTCCGTTATTAGTTTTATATCGTTTTCCTGCTTTGTAATGCTTTGGTTCTTCCACGGTACCATAAGTGATAATAGTAATATTATTAACTATACCCGTCATTGCTTTCTCCGACATACTCTTAAAAAATGTAGCTTACAAAAAGTGTGAACAATAAACTGCAAGCAAAATTCCTTAAATCAGTGGCAAACTTTTTTGCTGTATTAATTTGAATTGATATTTATGTGGAAGTAATAAAGAATACATTGAAATTTTTTGTAATCCATTTTATGTTTGCAGTTTGAAATACATCTAAAATGGGGCAGTGTATTAAAATTTCATCAATCCAGATTAATATTTGAACATTTAAGCCTTATTAGAGCGAGATTTTTATCAAATTAAGTCTTGATTTGAAACAAATTAAATTAAAAAAATCAAGTAGTTTTTTTAGAACTATAAATAAATTTTGTTTTCTGCTTAAATCATTGCTAAAGTCACATAGAGTCAACACTAAATTCAATTCCAGAATCAAAAACAAGTTACAAGTTTTGATTACACTGAAAGTTAGTTGTTTACTTGCATTTGACCACTGGCCAAAAAATAAATCACCAACAATATCAATTACTTAACCTTATCCTGAACGTGCAATTCCCAAATGCCACGTGGGTTCTCACCCCAAGTGTGAACGGACATAAATGGCCACTGATAGAAACCAGCATTTGATTTGTCTTCACGTCGAACCGACAAAAGTTGAGCTTTCGTGCCTAAGAAAATATATGTGCTTCAAAATCAAAAGCTAAAAAGAAAAAATTTATGACAAAAATTTACCTTGTGGAGATGTAATAGATATAGCAAGATGTCCACGTACAGGATAATAAACGTCTAGCACGAGCTGTACGTGTTCTAGAAAATTCACTTCATTTTTTTTACCCTCGCAACTATCTGTTTGGAATTTAATTACTGTCACACTTCCATTGTTAATTTTACTGAAAATGCAAAAATAAAATATTGGTTGTTTTTTGTAATTTTCTTACAAAAATATTCAATCTACAGTTCTGCTAGATGGACACTTAACACAACAACAATATTTTTCACCTTCTACGCCTTTAATTGGCAACAAATAAACAATAATTGCATGATATATTCTTGAAATGTATTGATAATAATATTTACTTTCATTTTATCTCATAAAACCGTCGAAACAATTTTGATGAGATTTTAGAAGTTTATCAAACGAACCGTTTGGAAAAATTAGGAAAAATAGTAATGCAAGCATTCTGTTCAGCAACGTTTTGCCATGTTTTGGCTGCCTTGACGAATGCTTCCGCATCCATAATTCCTAACAGATTAATATTTGCATATAAATCTCTGTTATATGCATAAATCTTTCTAATTATGTTCATCAGTTTTTCTAATTTTAATGTTTGAGTTGCTGTGCTTGAAATGTAACAGAACAAATGTAAACATTTGCGCAATGAATTGGAAAACGTGGCAAACCGAATCCGAAACGGGAATTAACAAGTAATCCTCGAGCATTTACAGTCCAGCCTTCATTAATGCCTAAAAGAGGTACTGGATTCGATGTCCAAACTGCAATGTGTTGAACATCACGCCAAGTTAGCAATGGACTGCAAAAGCAATAATATGTGAAGTGTGTTTTATTTGAAAACTTGAATGTGATGCAGTTATCTTGAGGATTTGTTCTCTGATATTAAAGAATTGATGATTAAAATCAAAAAGCATTTGCTGATAGCTAACAATCATTACTGTTTCGTTTTGCCATCAGCAGTCAGAATTACAACCTCCTTCTTAACCTTCATCCTTCTGAACTTTCATCAATTACGAAGCAATATTCTCCACTTGTAAGTAGAGAAAGTTGTAAAAACTTGATAATGCTGAAGAATAATCTTAAAATAGCACTAACTTAGCATCTAAGCCAAGAGCTATAATAGCCGCAGCCATTGGAGCTGATGCAGAAGTTCCAGAAAAATTCGTTGTACATTTATTCTGAATGTCAGTAGTAGTCTATAATCAGAAAAGTTGACTTTTATTACTTGTGCACATTTCATTTTGCTTTTAAAGTTGTAATACTTACAATTTGACGTTTGTCCTGGTAACCATTTGAGTAAGTGGATGATAAAACAGCCGTGCATTTTTCAGCATACCATGGGAAAGTGCCATCTTCTGATACGCTTGATACTGAAAACGTGTATATATTATCTATGTAACCATCACAGTCACAGCCATCACCGTTCAAGCCGCCGTTACCTGATGCCCACACGTAAATTACGCCTTTTCCACCACGTCCCTAAAAGTTATCATAAGAAAGCTATTTTTCATTTTTATGATAATTCCGAATTTTTATAAATCTTATATTACATTGCTTGACTTTCAAACTTCTTTTTAACTTCTCTTATCGTGAACTAAAATTGCAATACTTGCTGAATGCCTTTTAAAATAGCTTTTTGTGCTAGTTTCCCCGGCCCTTCTACCGTTTTTCCATCATCTTTCGGTCCCCAACTCGCGGAATAAATATCAATGTGATGAATGTTATAACTCAGAGCTTCAGCTTCCATCCTATCTGTAATTTTACCATCAAGCATTCGAATACCTGAAAAATTTGGTGAAAATTATCCACTGTGTTATTTTATAAGTTATTCAATCAAACACTGCATTGACTGGATTTGAAACTTGATTATTTTAAAATATATTAGAGTTCAGAGGTTAGAAAAAAATTTTTGTGAAGCAAAATGCGGTAAGAAAATGGATAGCGTACCGCCAATTTTTGCATCATAAGCTATTCCGACACCGCAAATTGAATTATTTGGAGTCATCGCAACTTCACCGGCACAACGTGTTCCATGACTGAGCTCAATTTTTTTATTTTCAACACTTTTCACTAAGATTAAGCTTGAAAGCTTGAAAGAATGAAAGCCAATAAAATTAAACCAATTATTTTTATTCAAATCATTTATATTTTAAGTAATAAATAAACGACTGTTGTACCTATTTAATTCATTAAATGTTGGCATTGGATCGCTGTCGTTGTCATTTAAATCATAAGAGGCTTTTGGGTCCTGTGAGTAACTTCGCAGTTAATTGCAATACTAATATAAAATATAAATTCAACGAAAAACTTGCAAAGCTTCAATTAATTTTAAAAAACAATTTTCACTTGCGAATTCAAGTTGCAATAAAATAAATAAATTTTAGACTGAGCTTGTTCATAAAGACTAACATAGTTTCTGACAATATCAGAATGGTTGTGCTGAAGGCCATCATCCTGAAAATTAATTTAATAAATTCAAGCAAATTTTTACGATAAATAAATACGCGCCAAAATCTATATTTGAGAAATGTTTTGAATACTATGCCAGCAATACAAATTCTTGCAAAGCTATTTTGGACGACTTTTAAACTGCAGAAAATGCTAAAAAAGTAACGGGTCAATGTAGTTAGTTATAGAAAATTGTAAGACAAAACAATTTCTGTAATAAATTCAGTGATTTTCTCATTCAGTTGGAGACTATTTTTCAGAATTTATGGCAAGGTAAACTTAGGTATCAAAACTGACAATTTTCTGAATTTTTACTGATCTTTTTCAAATATGCCGTGTTTAAGTGTAAAACATTTGCAGTTTCTGTACAGAAATTAACTTTTCTACCAGTATTGTCACAACGACACCTTTCCCGGTATAGCCAAGTTGCCAAGCTTCGATTACATTCATACTGATTAGTTCGCCGTTGAGAGTCCTTGAATTTCTCTGAATTATTTTGTTAGTCTGCAAGCTGTACTGCTAGTAAAAAAAAACAAAATTATAAATTTAAAATACGCGCCAAAAAGTATATTTGAGTATCAATGATTTTAATACTTGAGTTATAAACTAAAATAAATACTAATCAGCTCATTACTTCATTTCAGAATAAACTTTTATCTCCTCGGTTTGGTTATTTGTTGCAAATTTAAGATTTAAAACATTTCCAAATTTCAAAAAATGACAATCAAAGCATATTTAAAATTTTATCTTTAATTTAGTACATTACTTAAATCCTACTCATTATATGTTGTTTTTTTTTTATAAATTTTGGAAATTTATTTCTGATATATTTGAGAAGCTTTCGAAGACTTATCTTGTAATATGTTAATATTATCTTTATTATCCTCCATATCATATCACTTGCCAACTTGAAAAGAAACACCAAACTTTACCAAATTCCATTGTTGAGGCCAGAATGGATCATTGAAAATATTGCATGAGAAGTTATTATCAGTGCTAGCAACACTTCTGATGGCATCACTCATATCACGCTTGAATCTTTTTTGTGATTTTTGTTGTTCTGCCCAGATAACCTTGAAATTTTTCTCTGAAGCAATTAATTTTAATAAATATCAAAATTAAAACATAAATCAATAAAATTTTGGGTTTTTCCTTATTTTAAATAATTCAATAATGTTAATATATTTTTGAAACTATGCGCATTATTTTTTATTTTATCTCTAAACCTTACTTGTATCATAGATTAATCTTCGAACAAGGATGTTAAGTAAAATTGTTAAGTTTAAAATAGAAAAAATAAACAAATATTTACGAATTAAAAGTTGATTCATACTTCACTAATATTTGTTTCAGTCTAATCTATTTGTTAATATTTTTATTGGTAGTTGGCTCAGTAATGGCAATTTTGAAGTCAAACTTCTCAACCCAAAAGGTTAACTGACTAATTTGTGATGACGGAGAGCTAAGGTAGACTTGTTATCTGCTTTTCTTTTCTTTCGATGTTTTTCTTTCGAGAAGATATAAATATTCTTGAAACCACGGACCTGAAATTAATCACAACACATTTTAATCAGTCTGATAATAATTTTCATCATCAGCCACAAGACCTGATATTGACCTTGCACTTGTCAAGTATATAAATTTGACTTTTGACCTAGAAATGAGAAATTTAAACATTATTACAGGCGCAATATATTTGTATCCAACTGCCTTAGCGACATTTTTCGCTCGCCGTGTTCCACCCATTATCTGTGCTACCCATTCGTTTTCATATTCTTCTGCTTCATTACTTGGCTAGACATAATAAATTCAATTCAGAAAAGTAAAGATTAGATAATACTTTTATTTAGTTCGCTTTTGTAAGAGAATTAGACGGTTGAAATTACGTTTAATTACTGATTATTTCATTCAAAATGTTGTTGTAAAAATTACGTCAAGGCTACGTGTTAATTAAGGTTTTTATGCAATAAAGCTTCATATTTCATAATTAGTAAAAAAAATTAGTGCCAAAATTCTTTATTTTATAAATTTCGTGATAGTTAGCAAAGATTAATTGGCTAACATATTTTTATACAAAAACGTGAGAAGACAATAAATCAAAAAAACGTCTGTAAAAAACTTTCTGTCTACTAATTAATTTGAAATTAATACTTTGGTGATATATTAAAAAACTGTCATAGATTCAAATTATTTCTCTGAACTCCAAAAATACCTCATAATCATCGCTGCTATCATTACGATCAGTATTTTCATTGACAATATTAACTTGCTTTGAGTTTCTGCGAAATCGCAAAAGTTCAGGTAGTAATGCGATTGACTTTTGCTCATTATTATTTTGAGTCCAAATTCGTCGATAAAATGCGACACATGCAGGAAATACCAAAATTGTGCTTATAAACAATACAATCAGTAATGAAGAAAACTGCTTATTCCTTGCCTTTTGTGATAACAGAAAATTAGACATGATAATCAATTGATTTCAGATTAAATATATTGCAGTAAAATATGTATAAATATATATATTACACAGATCTGTTCAAAATGATAGATGATAAAAGTTATTTCATTAATGCTTAAATATAAATACAGAATCGTTGCAAGGTTTAATAATTATTCCGTTTTGCTTTAACAATCAGCTGAATTTGCTGTGATAATTAGACATCTTTAAAATTCCAAAAATTTGCATAATCTGAAAAAAGCAAACAATACAAAGTAAAAATTTAATAGTATTGACAAGATTTGTCTAAGATTAAATGAGAAATATTATAAAGAATGCCTGAATGTTGTTATCATAGATAATAATCAAAATAATAGCAGAAAATTATTATTAGACTTTAATTTGGACAAAAACTAAAATGGCAATTTTTTATGCATGCTCA